TTTCTAGGACCCATGCATGTTCTCAGTTTAAATGGGTGTGTTAGCTGTACCCTATGCACTTAGTACCTTTGGAGTTTAGACAGTTTTCTGTGGCTTATGTAGACGTGCACTGCTGCCTAGGTTTATTCTTTTAGATGGAAAGACTATTGCTTGGCTCTCTATACTGTTCTGCTGGCTACTCGTTATATCTACCTTGCCTTGTGTTCAGGAACTAGGGAAGTAATCATTGGTAGATTCAGAGACTTATAGGCCTACTCTGGAATGCACTAATTCCTGAAAATTCTTTAGGTTCCAAAGGATTAGCGTTAACCAAAAACTAACTCTGAAAGAAGTCTTTTTCCCAGGATACATATACTTAGTAAATGACTCTATTTACTTCGTTAAAGCTAAATAGAAAAAAGAATTTTGCCATGTACTTGGTACATTATCACATGGTCCTTTCTAAATGGTATTTATCCTCCTTTGTTGTATTTCAGAGACTGAGTTTTTGAAGATATTCAGGGATAGGAATTGGGTGAAAGATGGCACCTTAGAGACTCAGATACTTATACTTTTTTTAAAAATTATTATTATTATTATTAGTTACATTTTATTAACTCTGTATCCCACTCCCTTATTCCCTCCCAATCCCACCCGCCCTCCCTCATCTCCTCCCTGCCCCTTTCCAAGTTTTTTAAAGATTTATTTATTTATGTATACAGCTTTCTGCCTGCATGCTAGAAGAGGGTACCAATCTCATTATAGATGGTTGTGAGCCACCATGTGGTTGCTGGGAGTTGAACTCAGGACCTTTGGAAGAACAGCCAATGCTCTTAACCTCTGAGCCATCTCTCCAGCCCTGACTGATACTTACACTTTTTAAGATGTTACATCCATCAAGATAGACCTTAGCTGGCTGCCTGTCTACATTGGTTAGGATCCATCAGCCACTACTTACAATCCATGCTGCTCCAGCTGCTCTAGCATGACTTTGGCTGGCTGTGTCTGTGCTAATTGTTGTGCATATTTTGCTCCCAGCGCGCTTGCCAGGTCTCTGCCACCTTGGGTCTAATCATCTCCATTGAAGTCTGGAAGCTTGTGACAGCAGAAGTACTCCAAAGCTTTCCCCTATTTCATGGGGCATTTATAATAGACATTTTCAAGTATGCTTTTTCTCCCATGTTCTCATAGCCAAGATAAAAGGAGCAAACCCAGGTCCTCTGGTGACAGAGTTGGGGTGGGTGAGCAGGTTGTGAGAGATAACTTAATGTGTCTGTCTGTTCTGAGTGTTGGATTCCCTCCTCCACATTATGTGAGGAATTTCTGGCATCTTAGCTTTGCTTAGTTTTTTGGCCACATCTAAGTCCAAGTTTCATCATGTAGTTGAGAACATTATTTAGAACTATCCCCAGCTGTTTGAGTTAGCATTGTGAATCAAAACTCTCTTGGGGATCTCAGTTCAGCCTGATTTCAATTATGGTCGCGTTTGTCTCTGGTTTAACACCTCTAGAATCTTTTTGATCCCACAGTTTTCTCTCTATAAATTAAAATCTTTCGGTGCCTTTTCTGTGTGAATTACGTGTAGAGGCTGTGACCTACGAATAGAATGCTGCAGGCATCAGTCATAACATCTTAAGGTAAAATGCTGCCACTCGTGGGTAAAGGACTGCCACCTCTTCTGGTGCAGGATTCAAGAAGTTGGGGAGTTTCTGATTCTTGACTAATCCAAAAGTTTTTGTCATGATTATTGGCCTCTTTAGCTTCTAGACGTGAGGGAGTAACTGGTACTCGGCTCAACTCGCCTGTATTTCCTGCTGCTATGTATGAGTCTGCCCAAAATATAGCAGCTTAAACCCACTTCAGGCTCTCTTTAAGTTGTTTCTCCTCTGTGTCTCTGTAGGACAGGAATTTAGGGAGGGCTTTGCTGGGCTTTGGGATTTCTCAGCAGTTACAATTAGGTGGTGGTGAAGTGGGTGCTTCATGGAGCTTAGGATACTCATGCCCATAGAAGTCCTCCACACTTAGAATAGCTTGAGAGCAGCTGGAATTCTTTGTCCTCTTGTAAAGCTTCTCTTTGTGGTTTCTCCTCATGAATTAGCTGAGGGACAATGGGACTGCTTACATGGCAGCACAGGGCTCCAACCCCACATCCAGAAAAGGCTCCCAGCTTTGAAAGGCTCTCACTGTTACTTTTGCCATAGTCCCAAGCCCACAAAAACAAACAAACAACCCCAACATGTTAGCTAAAAGTCCATTGAGAAAATAAGAATAAAGTAAAACACATTTGATTAGCTCCAACTTTTACTCAGAACTAATGAGCCTGAATCTGTCCTACCTGTGCAGCAGTCCTGTGGCAGACACCATCCTGACAACTGACCAGGACTGGACACCAGAAATTCCCTAGTTCTCCGCCTCGAGGATTGAAGACACCCAAGGCCGTTTTCTTTCCTTCAGCTATCTAAGTGAATTTGGAAGCAGCTGATATGCCTCTCACATGCACTCCTTCGTGGTTACCCTGTCACTCCAGGCACAGAGCCCTGCGCTTGTAGGTTCTTTAGTCTCAGGCACCGAGAAGGCAGTTCCAGAATTCTTTCCTCCCCGAGACTCATGCGCTTGCCAGTGTTTATTCCTGTCACAGTTGTGCCATCTTCCAATTCAGCAGAGAGACTCAGTCACAGATTTCCAGGATATAGTGCAAACAGTCACATCTGCCCGGAGTGACTATGATGTTTACCACAGACCAGAGTCTGCAGATAGAACAGAAAGGAACTTTAAGTGAGTCAGCTTTGGAATTTGTGGAATGGTGTGGTACAAATTTAAACACCATTCCGGCAAGAGAAATGCTTTTGAACATTGTAAGCTTATTTCACCAGAGATGGTGGGGCCACTATCATATGAAGTTTTGGTTAAATGTTTGTCTTCATGGGTTACAGAATTTGCTCAGATATATTAATAACCATTATATTACTTGCGAATAGAGAAAACTTATGTTCTAAAACACTGAATTATAAAACTTGATGTTTGCTTTGGCTTTCGGGGACTTGTGATTGTTTTCCCAGGGAAACTATCCAGTAGATTTGATTCCATGTCCAAATAGGTCTCACAGTCTGTATTGCCTGTACTATATCATAAGTGCAGAAATGCCAGCATCCAGAGACACTTTGAGAAGTGCTTCCTATATTTAAAAATGCTCACAAAGATTAGGCACCTTACAGACACATCTAACTTAAACTGCATCTAGTGTATACCCTTTCAGGTTGCCATTTTATCAGAAACAGGATGGCAGACATGGGTGAGGTAAGCTGAGGGTCCATAGTAGTAATAAGCAGAGAATTACATCATCAGGTAGACTGGCGGATGATGGACATCAAGGAATGACACTCTTACTTAAACCTTGTAGTGAGGGTGATCTTTAAGTTGACTACCTGGAACCACATGTTCCTGGTGATGGTATTGCTAAGCAGGCTGGGTAGAAGTCATGGGTGAACACGGAGAACTTGGTTAAGTACTGGTCTTCAGCAGCTGCTGTATTGTTGCACACTTGACAACCATGGTTAGGTAGACAGGAGAGAACAGCAACAAATTGTGCCTGCTAGAGTTGTGGCTCCTGCTAAATCCTTGGGGATCAGGCCCCCACTGTCTCTGCAGCTCTGTGTAGGCGTAGGGAGTCAGGACTCCTTAGCTCCTGGCCTTTGGAGCTTACAGTTAGGACTCTTGAGACCCTTGGTTCTAAAGGACTGACAGCTTTAGAAGCCCGTCCAGTGACTAGTGCCTTTTTGTCCTCTTCTGCCTCTTTATCACCTGGCTTCTACCGCAGTACTCTACCCTTTCTACTTCCATTGTCTCCTTTGTTACTACACTGTGCTTTCTTGAACCATTTAACTCCCTCTTCTGATGGGCAGTCCTAGCCATCTTGCTGTTGCTTTTGTAGCTCACCCTGCTGACTGCCCAGCTGTTACTGCCATGGTCCTCTACTGTTCCTGTCACTGCTGTCTGTAGTCCCACATTACTAGAAGCAGGCAAGAAGGGACCACTAAAGAAAATCCTTTGAGGAGAGAGAGAGAGTTGTTTTGTGTGTGTGTGTGTGTGTGTGTGTGTGTGTGTGTGTGTGTGTGTGTCCCTTACCCCACTCACTAAATGAGACTGTATAACCTATTGGGGTGTTTGGACTAATCACAGCACACCTCACATACAAATGCAGCTTTTGTTTGCACCAGTCACGGACCCTCTGCCAGGCTAGCTGGAGAAGTGTCCCCAGCTGGCCTTGGTGATCACCAAGCCTTAGGAAAGCAAAAGTCCTGGCTGAGGCCATGCTTCTGGAGGCAAAACAGTGGTCATTGTCCAGTTGTCTCAAGGTTTTTTGGAGTGTTCCAGATGGCAGAGAGTCCAGTTTTATAGATTACTCCCTTCCCCCAATTTCAATGACATCACAAGTGTTTACCATAAGAACTCAGTTGACATTGACACAAACAGTGACTTCAGCAAACTTGCCAGTGCTTACCAGCTGCCCAGACAAGGAGGGAGAGAGGGCCCCACTTTCTCTCAGTGGGAAGTTGCATCTGTATGTGAGAAGTGGCTTGGTTAAGACATAAATTTTTAACAGTGCCTTTTAAATTGCATCTCCTCTTTTAAATAAAACTTCAACAATTTAAATATAGAACACTTAAAACCCAACAAAACCGTCTTCATGTTGCGGGGCAAGGTCAGGTAAAGACACTTCTCTAAGAGCAGCAGGGGACGAAGCAAGCAGGGACCAATGAGGCATGGCTGGCCTGACAGGCGGGGGACTCCCCAGAGCCTGGGATTCCAGGGACTCAGAGTAGTCCCTGCCTCTCCTGATTCCTTTTCACTTGTGCCGTGTTTGTTTTCCCATGGGCCTTTTTCAGGCAGCCTGTGCTCTTGAGCCATGAAATGAGCAAGTAATTGAAAATACACAGACTATGAGATAAAAGTTGTACATGTGCTAAAAATAGCATTTAGTCACAATTAAGGGAATTTGCTGTTTTTGTTGTTGTTCATAGGCAGAAGAAGTCCTTAGGCGAGAACTGGAGAAAAAGGAAACGCCAAGTTTGTACTGCTTGCTTGGAGATGTCCTGCAAGACCACTCCTGCTACGACAAGGCCTGGGAACTGTCACGACACCGCAGTGCGCGTGCCCAGCGCTCCAAAGCCCTCCTCCATCTTCGGAACAAGGAGTTTCGGGAATGTGTGGAGTGCTTTGAACGCTCAGTCAAGATTAATCCCATGCAGGTAAGACCTCATAAAGCCTCTGGTTCTTGGCATGGGGTTTTCTCTTCATAAATATAGTAACATGTAGGATGGGTTACTGATTATTTAAGGAGAAAATGTACATACAGATTATTTAAGGAGAAATTTGTACATTTGCAAATAAATCAAAACATTTAAAATACACTTTCTGTATGTGTGGATGTGGGTGCACACATGTGTGGGTGCACGTGGAGAGTAAGGGATATATACAGGTGTTGGTCCTCAAGAGCTTGTCCACCTTGTTTTGATCTGCCAGTGTCTCTCACTAAATAGGCTGTGTTGAGCCTCAGGGATCCTGCTGTCTGATTCCCCTGTGTTGGGATGAGAAAGGCATGCTATCACTTGGGCTTTTGTACATGCTGGGCATCAGACTCAGGCTATTGTGCTCCAACATTGTACTGATGGAGCCATCTCTCCAGATCCCTTTAAGCAACCTTGTAAGATATGAAAAATTAAAGGGTGTCTAGAGCTGTACATTCATGATAAGTCTGCAGGAGAGAACCTAGTTTTAAGGGGGAATTACCTTTATTGGTACATAATCATGGTAAAATGATTTTATTAGAGACTGTTTTTTCTCTTGCTGTCAGACTTTCTAGTGCCTTCACAGTTCACCAGTCATGGCTCCCACACATGCACACAGTCTGAATGATTCATCTGGTAGAAACTTAGGTTGCTTCTACCCCTTGCCTGTTAGAAGAGTGCTGCAATGAAAAAACGGTGTGTGTAAAGAGTAGCTTTAGGCGGTGTCTTTTACCCTGAAAAAAATTAGGACAGGGTGGCCAACCTTTTGGCTTCTCAGGATCACACTAGATGGAGAAGAACTCTTAAACCACACATTAAATCCACAAGCAATAGTGAAAGCTTATGAGGAAAAGTCTGTATAGTTCTGTGATATTTGCTACTACAGAGAAGGAAAAGGCCCCCCACAGTAATCCTAACTATGTGGGGCCCATTCAGAGGGCCGTTTAAGACCATTGAGCAGGTCCTAAGTTTGTGATCACTAATAAAGAAAATGAACATATCCAAGTAACAAAATTTGTTGATTTAAAAAAATCATAAATGTAGCATTTAATTATAAAAGCAACATAAACTAGTAGGTTATTTGACATTGCATTTGAAAACGATACATCATTATCTGTTGTGATGGACAGTTGCAATTCTCAGTGAGCTCTCGGAGTGCTTATCAGCTAGCTTGGTCCTGGTTTTACTCTAGTATGCGGTGTCGAGAATAACTGCTCACATGGGCTGGAGCATTGGCCCAACACTAAGGAACTAAGGATTTTAGTTTGGTTCCGAGTAAGTATCTGGAAGTACAGTTCCAGCTAATCTGACACCTTCTTCCAACCTCCTCAGGCACCAGGCACACACATGGTGCTCATACATTCAGGCAGGCAAACACTCATACACATAAAATACAGTATATCTAAAAAGAAATTTGTAAAGTAGTTGCTCATAAATTTTAGTGCTGCCAAAAAGGATGACATGAATAATGTATGATGTTTTTCTCTGTGAAGATAGGAGCTAGAAGAAAGTCCAGGAAAGACAAAGGATTGCAGTTTTCTCTTTAAATTGGATGTTACATTGGAGCTTTATGCATTCCATTTGTAAGTTGGCAGGTAACATAGATCTATGTCAATTGAAAATGGAGTCATGATTATACCAGAATACTGTTTTCATGGAAATCCTTAAATCTGTTTCTAAACTCTGTGTCAGATTGAGAAGCAAGGCTTCATTTTTGTTTACAGGACAATATTTAGCCAGTGGGTCACAATGCATAAAATTGTCTTAACCTGAGTTTGCCATAGTTGCAGCAGCTTTTTTTTTTTTGTTTTGTTTTGTTTTTGTTTTTAAATCTCAAAGAAGCATGTACTCATTTGCATGAGTGGCTAAATCCACTAAAAAATGTTAAGTCTGTAAGCCAGATTTTGTTATCAAGTCTGGCATAACTTTTGTTTGATAACTGCAAGTACATGCTGACATGTTGAAGATTATAAAATCTTTTTGATACTTGACCTTGACTTAGCCTTATTCTTGGGAAGTGATGATGTTACCATAGGTAGCCTACACACCGTTTTTCCTTTTTCTTTAACAGAGCCTGGATAGTTTTAAAGAATTCGTGTAATTGACGATGACTTAATATCTTGTCCCTTATGAAAGTCACAGTATTGGATAACAATTTATATGATGTTACACATTTTTAATACTTTTGGCCATACGTTTTCTTGATGTACTGTACAGTGGTACTTCACTGAATGTGAGTTTTGAGCAGCGACTGCATCATCTTCCACTTTTGTGAGACCTTGATTTTTACCGACCATCTCCCGGGCACACTGAGTAATCAGACATGTGGACAGTGGACAAAGAAAAGCCTTTTAATAGCAGTAAAGAAGCCGTCTTCTCTATGACATTGTATTCATCATTGGTACAAATGGCAAGTAGAGCCTTGTCATCCACCCAAAGAGGAAAAGCATGCAAACACTTTGTGTTATGTTGCAATGAAACTTGGTGAGCTACAAAGCGCATACTCAGGAACCATGTAATCAAGTTGCAGATACTTCATTAAAATTCTCATAATATTGTAAGTAAGTGATTTACTTACAACATTGGACCACATTTATAGCTGTCCTGGGGCCCATACAGGTCATGTGCTGCTTGTTGGACACCTCTGACTTAAAATTGGCTGCTGATGTTTACAGAACTGCCACCAGCCAGGTACCTTTTTGGGTAATCAAGCTGGTATTAAAATCCAGATGATCTAACTGTGGAGCCAACAGTTTTTTGTTTTGTTTTGTTTTGTTTTGTTTTGTTTTTCCCGAGTTGAGGTTAAAAAAATGCATATGTAACATGTAATTTGTCATTTCTGAATGTGGAGTTTATTAATATGAAGTAGGTTCATACTGTTGGGCAACTGGTCTCTACACCCTTTTTATCTTCTGAAACTGAAACTCTTATATCCATTAGCCAAGTCCTCATTCCCTTTCTCTAACCTCTGGCAACCACGAACTCAGTTGCTCTACATTATAAGAGCAGAGTCATACAGTGGTTGTTTCTCTTACGTCTATGTGTGTTTGGCCTGCTTGTGTGTAAGCAAACCACATGTATGTAGTGCCTGCAGAGACCAGAAGAGGGCATCAGATCCTCTGGAACAGGGATTATAGACATTTGTGAGCAGCCCTGTGGGCACTGGGAACCTAACCCTGGCCATCTCCAAGGGCAGCCATTGCTCTTAACTTCTAAGCCATCTTTCCAGCCCTTGTATTTGTCTTTGATGACTGGCTTATTTCACTTTGTTCACTTATTTCACTCAGAGCTCATCCATGCTACATAGATACGAGAACTTCTTTCTTTTGAGACTGGATAATATTGTATTGTGCCACATTTTGTTTGCCTGCCCATCGGGTGGAGATTTGGATTGTTGCCTATTATGGACAGTGTTGAAATGATATGAAAATGGGTGTGCAAACAAACAAACAAACAAACAAACAGATAATGCTTTTTTAAAATTAGCTTTCAAAGAATTAGGTTTCATTATACTATTTTTAAAACAAAATTTAAGTGAGTGAATGTGTGTGGGGTATGTGACAAGTTGAGCTAATTGTTTGCTTTTTTTTACTGAAAAATGAATGCAATTAATATCTTCCCAAACTGGTGAAAAGTCACAGTCTAAAGAATAGAACATTCATGTATAGCGAATCTACTGAAGTTAGTGGGTATTACTTGGCAGAAAAGGTGTGTAATATATAGCTTTGGAGTTAGTTTTCGTTGACAGCTGTACCAACTTAGTGATTCTAACTGAATATGATTATATAACTTCTGCAGATAACTTTGGTTTTCATAATGGGGAAGTGAGGATATATGCTATTGGCTCCCGAAAGGGAGCAATACCAGAGATGGGGGTGGGGGTAATCCCATAATGAAGTATCTCATAACGCACAGGGAAGCCATCTATACTAACTTTTCTATCCTATCACATCAGTAGCATTATGGTTGAAAAACTGTGCTCTAATTTAAATCACTCTTTCCTCCTCTCATATATAAGAAGATATGATGGGTTTGGCTTTGAGGGACAAGTCTTACTTCAGTGGGTAAAGGAGGGCCAGACTGTGGGTACAGCAGCCTAAGTAGGGCCTTGGGAACCAAAAGCTGAGTGTGTGCTGAAGGGATGGAAGAGCTGGTGAAAAGGCCAGTGTTTCAGACTGGGAGGAAATTAGGCCGTGATAGTGGGAATGGTAGATTGGACCCAGGCTATCAGATATCTTAAATGTGGGGCTAGGCTGATTGTCTTTCCTTAGGTTGTTAGGGAACCTGTGAAGTTGCTTTAATGTCATGCTTTGTCTTCAGTGCAAGAATGGGGTGTGCGTAGCGGGAGCTAAGGGTCCTTGTTCTGTGCGCACTGGCTATGAGAGGGGACAGTAGATAGCCTAGGTAGCACACTAGTAATAAGCTGCATTTCACAGGGCAGCTATTAGTGTGGGAGGGATACTAGAACAAAAGGGTGACGTGACAGACTTGATGCCCTTGTTGTACAGTTTAGAACTAATTACTGAGACAAAGAGATGACAGTTGCTCAAGCAGAGTCACAGTATGACAGATACTAGGTGAGGATGCTTTGCAGCCTGCCGTGTGTCTTCCATTCCGGCAGACCGAAACAAATGCCCAAATACACAGGTATTTGGTGCTCAGGTTGTACAGAACTACTACAAGCTATGACTCAAACACCATATACTTAGTAACTTGTGATCCAGGGTTGGATGTCTCCGAAGAAGGAGCCGTCATTACACTGTGCTGTTTTTAAGTGCCATAAGAAAGAGAAACTAGAATTTAAAAAAAAAAAAAAATGCTGCCCACTATTTTCAGATCTGTCCAGAAGATTAGGTTTACTTTGACCTCTAGGTAAACGGAGCGAGGCATCTGCAGAGCATTGATACAAAAATAGAACCACGTGGCTTTGTGCCAGGGATGGGCTGCAGCGCTAACATACT